TTTGATCCAACGGAGTATACACATGTGAGTGTGTTGAATGCTTGTTCACGGTTGTTGAATTTGAGGTGCGGGAGACAGATTCATGGGCGAATTATTGTCAGTAATTTGGAAGAGAATGCTTTTGTATGGAATGCTCTAACTGATATGTATGCAAAGTGTGGTCTGATGGAACTAGCAAGAAGTTTGTTTAATAGAAATAAGAATAAGAACGTGGTTTCATGGAATTCAATGATTTCTGGTTACCTGAAAAATGAGCAGCCTGAGAAATGCATTCATTTGTTTGACCAAATGCAGATTGCAGGTATAAAACCTGATGAGGTTACTTTGTCAAACATTCTTCAAGCTTACTTTAAAAGAGGCTTTATAGATGAAGCAAGTAAGGTTTTCAGTACGATCAAAGAGAAGGACATGGTTTGTTGGACAACAATGACAGTGGGTTATGCAAAGAATGGAAGGGAAGAGGATGCTTTGATGTTGTTTCGCAACATGCTATTAGAAGCTGTCAAGCCAGACAGTTTTACCATCTCTAGTGTTGTTGCTTCCTGTGCCAAATTAGCCTTTCTGTCTAATGGTCAGGTTGTCCATGGGAAAGCTGTTCTTTTCGGAGTTGGCGATAATTTGCTTGTATCCAGTTCCCTTGTTGATATGTATTGCAAATGTGGAGTTACTAAGGATGCCTGGGCTGTTTTCAACATGATGCCATCCAGGAATGTGGTTTCTTGGAATACCATGATTGGAGGCTATGCACAAAACGGTCAGGAATTAGAGGCACTTGCTCTTTATGAGAAAATGTTGCAGGAAAAAGTGAAACCAGATAGTATTACCTTTGTGGCAGTTCTTTCTGCTTGTAGCCATGGAGGTTTAGTTGAAGAAGGACAGAAATATTTTGATTCTATCAATAAAGTACATGCAGTAACACCTTCTTTAGATCACTATGCATGCATGATCAATCTTCTTGGTCAGTCAGGTGACATGGATAAAGCAGTGGATCTAATTAAGACTATGCCCCAAGAACCAGATGCTTTTATCTGGTCAACCCTACTCTCAGTTTGTACAAGGAAGGGTGACATCAAACATGGTGAGATGGCAGCTAGGTTTCTCTTTGATTTGCAGCCACTGAATGCTGGACCTTACATCATGCTTTCCAACATGTTTGCTGCCTGTGGTA